CCTGCCGGCCGTCCCGCCCGCCCGCCCGCCGGCCCGCGGAGCTGTTTTTTTTTTCTTTTTTTTTTTCACTTGCAAACAACTTTATTAACAAAGAAGCGGCGGGGGGGGGGAAGGAAAAGCGAAAGAAGACCACAGCAGCGCTTCCTGCTGGCTTGTATAAAACACTTCGCAGTTAGAAAGAAGACTGCACTACAGTAGTAGCGGGAGGTTTTTTTTTTTTTTTTTTTCAATTTCAGCCGTATATTTTTCTCTTACCTCAAATATCTTTCTTTAACTTGGCGTTCGGAATCTAAGTAGTGGGAGGTGTTGGCGTGGGGACGGAAAGGCCAGCCGGCCAGCAGCGAGAGGCAATCTGAGCACGCACTTTGGGGGCCACGTGTGAGTATAACAGACCTTGCTTATTTATTTATTTATTTATTGATTGATTATTAGTTAATTATTTCGGTTTTAAACATTTGGGCGCGACCCTGTAGCAATCCTGAATGGTGATGAATCGTTCCAATTTTAACGGATGTCCCGAAGGATACAGAGAAGATTAGCATGGCCCCTTAAAAAAAGAAAAAAGAAAATTGCACGTATAGCATTGTATCGTATTGCACGTTCGGAATCTTTGTGGTCCGGTTTGTCTTTTTTTTTTGTTCTTTCTGTATCGATATCAGAGCGCGACTCTTCGAACACGTGTATATATATTAAAAAGTGCACGTATAGCATTGTATAGATAAAAGAAGAGAGCATGCATGTACATATATATACATGCATGCATGCACATGTGAATTTATGAACACATACATACGCGTAATATAAAGTTTTCGATGTATCGCCAAGTAACCCTTTGGTTTTTGGGCTTTTTGTAAATTTCAGAAAATTCGGTATGAACGCTTGTTTCTTTTCTCCCTGCCACAAGGCCCGCAGTGGGCAATGTTCTTTTTTTTTTAAAAAAAAATAAAAAACAAAAAAAAAAATAAAAAAAAAAATAATAATAATAATAATAATAATAATAATAATAATAATAATAATTATTATTATGATAGTATTTTAAACAAGGTTGTGTTTCTCGCTCTCCACTGTTGGTCGTTGTTGTTCCCGGGTCCGTCCGTTAATTTCGGATTTTGTTGCTGGATTTTTCTGGCGGTCATCTTGCCCTCTTCGTCTTCTTCTTCTTCTTCTTCTCCTTCTCCTTCTTCTTCTTGAAGTTCTTCTTCTTCTTCTTCTTCTTCTTCTTCTGCTGCTGCTGCTGCTGCTGGTTCTGCTTCTTGTTTTTCTTTTTCTGCTTCTTCTCGTCTTCGTCTTTTTCCTGAAACGCTGGGGTGCTTTCTTCTCCTTCCCCCACCCTCGCCCTCGAAGGGACGTAGGGCTAGACAGGACATCTACGAAGGTATGTATTGTTTATCTACGACTGACAGATTAGCCTTTTTTTTTTTTTTTTTGGTTCAGAAATACTGGTCCCTTTCGTCTCCGATCCCACCCCCCGGGCCCCAATCACCCCCCGCCGATGCAAAACGACAACAACAACAAAAAAAGAAATCAGAAAAGAACACTACTACCGAACAGGGCTTCGTTTTTTCCTTCTACGTGGACCTTGCAATGTTTCTTGTTCTTGTTCTTCTTCTTCTTCTTGAGGCTCTCCGTGTTGCTTCTATTCTTTTCTTTTTTTCGCCCCTATTGAGAACTTTCCATAGAATATAATATTTATATATATCGATAGATAGATAGATAGATAGATAGATAGAGAGAGAGAGAGAGAGAGAGAGAGAGAGAGAGAGAGAGAGAGAGAGAGAGAGAGAGAGAGAGA